AAAATGTTGTAATCTGGAAATTATGTTACATGTGCTTATGTTAACTGAAAGAAATTGAAAAAAACAAAGAAAATATAAACTCTAACAAAAATTACTGCTTACTAGACTTTCTGAAGAAAATTTTCAAATATGCAACATTGGACCACTGAGTCAAGGTTAACTTCCACCAGGCTGTTTTAAACTTTTCAGACCGTGTGAAACTACAAACATTATCTCCATCCTCCTCTAGATATCCGTCTACAGCTTTTGCAGCTGTCGCCCATCCTTTGGGGTGTATAGTACTCTGTGAAGCTTTTCCTTTAAATGCTGTATTTTGGGCCAGGTTTTCTAAAATGATTTTTTTAATTCTTAAGAATTAATAAACTAGCAAACCCATTTCCATTTTATTTTTATAAAGATAAAATCAAAGAAATTCCAAATTAGGCAGAAAGGCTTTATGACTCATGTGTAAAGGAAATTTCAAATAAGTTCGGTTATAAAACTTTACCTAGAAGAATTCTATTTGTACATCTGAATTAAAAAGGAATATTAAGTAAACTGGACCAGATCAAAATCATATGACGTAAAAGTGCATTTGATGTCCCAGCGTTAATTGAGAGTAAACTGGAGAACAAAACAGAAAATTCAGAGATATCAATTTAAGGATACAGAATTAGAAGGGAGACTAAATCGGAATGAGGGTGGAGTATTATAGTTAACCTTGGAAAGAATTTTTATGTTATCTCGATGTTACGACTTAAGAAAGTTGTTATGACGACTTTTATATTTTTTTTTTCATTTTCCTAATTTGACCCTTGTAGTACGGAAGCCCTGGAGGGACATTGACTTAATTATTATGACTTATTTGTTATTACTTGTCAAGCCTGGAAGGACATTGACTTACTTGTTATGACTTATTTGTTATTACATGTTTGTTGTGACTTAATTGTTTTAATTGTTATGAATTATTTGTTGCTAGTAAAAACTAAGCGTAACGTAGCTATATAAAACGTGTAGCATGGCTAAAAATATGTTTAGATCTTTTTTAACTGCTTTAATTGATTAATTGTAGTTTAAAATCTAATACAAATGTGACCACGAATTTCTTATCGGTAGATAGGTAAATTTACTTAATTGTTATGACTTTTTTGTTATGACTTACTTGTGACTTATTTATTATGAACTTTTTGTTGCTAGTAAAAAATAAGTGTTGAGTAGATATGGAGAACGTGGTAGCTTAATGGTTTACGTTTATTATGATATAAAATGTTTAGTTCTACTTCAACTATATTTTGACGAATTGTTGTACACAAACTTGCCTGTTTCATATATCATAGGAAAAAGAGATCGATTTTATTGTTATTTGTGCTTTGAGATTTTTTTCATTTTTGTAATCTCATGTTAATTTAAACCAAAAACGTGGCATGAGAGATGGAGGCTACTTGTGGTTTCAGAAAAGAAAAACAAATTACCTTTGAATTTAATACTAACGACAGGATAAAATGTGAGTTATATTTTTGCGTTCAATCATCATGGAAACTGGAAATTACAAATGAAAATTAAAGTAACAACTATTAAGTAACAAGAAATGATATTTAGCAAATAACAATTAAGTTATAACAAAAAATATATATGAACAGATAAGAATTTAGTAGTAGCATTTGTATTAGATATTAAACAACTTTTAAAAATAGAGCTAAACATATCATTTTAAGCCAGTCTACATGTTTTACATAGCTGCGTTACGCTTAGTTTTAACAAGCAACAAATTATTCATAACAATTAAGTCACAACAAATTAACAAGTTATAAAAAATAAGTCATAACCAGTAAGTCAATGTCCTACCAGGGCTTCCGTATTGTAGGCTTTTGCAGAAAATAATTAAATGAAAAAAAAAACTAAAATAGAAATCTGAACTAAAAGAAAAGTAAATATATATATAACACTCTATTGATATGGAGATACCTCTACGATTGATTAGCAAGCATCCTGTAATGACCGAAAACATCCGTGATAAGAAAAATTCCTTAAATATTCAGCATGACAAAATGGCCAAAGAATTCGAAGAAAAGCGCGGGTTGACATTTGATATCAAAATTGATTGTATTTGCTGACAAGTTTATAGTATCGAACGAAAAATAGAAAAAAAAATTTAAATGAGACAAACATGTATCATAAAACATTTATATAAATTACCTAGGCCACCTGTTACATTTATTAAGATAATTCCAACACAGATAACATGCAGTAACATGTCCATGTTTTCCAATGGTATAGTGTGACGTATTCAATCTGCTGGAATCTAATATATTTGAATTTTTTTGTTTGTTTCCTGTTCGGCTTCTCATCTTTCTTCCTTATGACTGTCATACAATTTGTATAAAAAGAAACAAAAACAATTCGGTAAAATTTTATCAGGAAGTTTGTTTAAAGAATAAAAGGAAGAACCAAATAACATTTTTACTCTTTCGTTGCTTTTTTGATTTGACAGAAAATAAGGAAAATAAATAAAAAAAGCAAGTATTCAAAATAAAGTGTGGGTGGTTATTTATTCAGTTGAGCTATACATGTAATCCTAAGGCCACGGGGAATTGTTATGTAAACTTTCATTGCAAAAGTTCAAAGGATTCTCGAGATTTCACGCGAAAACGAAAGTGTTAAAACAGACAGCATTTATCAATTTATTACCCTGACCTTTGACCTGTTGATTCAAAATCAATTGGTTTCTTCTTAAGGTCATAGAGAGATGCTATGCTACATTTCGTTTCGAATGCTCAAGCAAACTACGGAAGCGTATTGCTGCCACTTGAAAAAATATATTGTAAGTCATAGGTACGAGATAATAAGATGTACGTACGACATAATAAGTCGTACGTGCGAGATACTAAGTCGTACGAACGACATAAGTCGTACGAACGAGATACTTAGTCGTACATACGATACAATAAGTTGTACGAACGACATAATAATTCGTACGAACGAGATATTTAGTCGTACGAACGACATAATAAGTCGTTCGAACGAGATACTACATAGTACGTACGAGATACTAAGTCGTACGTACGACAAAGCAAGTTGTACGTACGACATAACACTTAAGTAAGTTGTACGTACAAGATACTTAGTCGTACGATCGAGATAACATTAACCCATGGTAGTCACATGTACAAGATAATATGTTACAGTGGCTGGAACGTTATTGTTGACAACTTACACGAACGATAACGTTACATGAACGATTCCGCACGATTAATGCACTATTAAACCTGTTACACAATGATCTTTCACGTTCACGATTCTACACGTTACACGATCTTACACGATTGTTAACGCAAACGCACGATTCTTTACTCAAAATAGTTCAAAATATTTAGGAATCAATATTTTCAAAACGAAATATTTAAGATTTCAAAGAATTATCAATAATATTTCATAGACGTAGTAGAAAAAAACGGAAAATGATATTTCTGAGACTAAATATATGCAAGACTTAATAATTTAGATTAAAAATAATTATTTCTAAGGTAAATCTCCGATAAAAAAAAAAAGGATTTTGTTCGTTCTATTAGACGATGTACATGTATGTGGGTCGTATAATTTGATTGAATTGGATATCATGATATGCATAAAGGGGATACGATTGAACAAAAATGGCAGCATGGAATGACTTGAATTATAATTACAAATTTTATCCTTATGTTTCCAATGATTCAATGTCTTATAAACTTGCCAATTATTCAACTTTTTTGTTTGCAGAAATTTAAAATTAATTAATTACAAACAGGCTCAAGAGATAAACACAGATAATAAAAACTCCCGAAAATCATGCCGTGTCCATGTATATTTGTCGACTAACTAGTTATGTAAGCATTGAGAAATGTTTATTTCTTTGGAAAAAAAAATATTTATTTTCAATGAATTGATTTCAAGATTATCTTGACCACAATAAGAAATAAATAATAATTAAAATCAGATTTTTCTAAAAGGTGTTAAAGATCTAAGTACGGTTTATCACAATATTGATCGCGCTATTTGACGAGAACTTAATATTGTACGACTTACTATATTGCTTGTTTACGGGCGATAATTAGTTCGTTCTGCATTCTATTATGTAAATTGCACTTTTTCATTTTATTTGGATTTTGATTAATAAATTAAGAAAAACAAACAAGGGAAATGCTTATTTTACAAATAAAATTCCGATAAAAACTTACAAAACGAAATTTACACGATTCTAAACGCACGATCTCGCACGATTATAAACGCACACCGGGCGGATTGAGTCTGATACACGAACGATCTCGCAAGTTACACGAACGATCACTCACGACACACGAACGATTCTACACGATTGGTTTGTCAACAATAACGATCCAGCCACTGTACACATACGATATATTATCTAGTTATTTGGATTTCTTTATAATATCATTAATAGACGGGCATGCCAATATTTGTTTGCTTTTGATTGCTAAAACGAAAGAACCTAAATTTCATCTACATATGCAATTTCAATCTATTTAACAGTAAAAAAAGTCAACTTTACATGTTGACTTAGATTGAGTCCCATCCAAAGCAACCCCTCAAAGAATCTGATATTTTGATAGGTTTTTATCGAGGGAATATTTATGAACAAAGCTTTTCATGGGGTACCTAGAGTGGCATATTTATGCCACCCACATAATTTTTATTTCAACAAAGCATATCATGTCCATTCAAGATAAATATCTCGTCAAGTGATGATAACTTTCTGACTTGTCGACCTACACCGACTTAATATCTTGTCCAATCAAGTTAATCTTTCATTTTTTTATTTCAATGGCTATCTTGACATGACGAGATATTACTTTTAATCGCGATAGAAGATAAATTATCTCGTTTTGTCGAGATAGCTATCGCAGAAGTACGATAGCTTATCTTGATTGTACAAGATTAAACTGAGTGTTTGAAGACAAACCAGAAAGTTATGACTTGGCGTGATATTTTATGTTGACAAAAAATTATGTGGATGGCATATGTAGTAGTGTGTATAATATGCGTACATAATAAATAAGTGTTTTAAATTTAATGTAAATAAATTAAACTACCATAATAGATAAAAGTATAAAAAGCTTGATCCGCTCCTTTATATCCTTAGCCTTTTACATGTACACCTGTATATAGATAATTAGTTACCTTAGGGCAGTTCAAAGGTTTTGGAGTGTTATTGGTTCTTATTGGTAGTTTGGTTGTGAAGTTGGATTTCATTGGTTTTATTCTTATGGTCATTGGTTTTACCGCCAAAATATTCATTCTTTGTCTTGTTGAGAAATGACCAAGACAGTGTATTTTATGGACTCCATGACTTTGACCTTTGGAGACTGACAATTTCCATTTTCTGGTAAGTACTAACTTTCCTTATTACTAATTGTCAAGTAATATGCCTATTCCATAGATTTGCATTTATTAAAGATCCCAGTTTCACATTATTAATTGAAAGAATGACCATGAGAGAAAGATGTTATTTATATGATTGGAATTATTGATTATAAAGATCAGTAATGTATTATATTATAAGTGTAAATTGTAATATTCAAGTTACACCATATATTTTTATCACCCAGATATTTGGTTACTTTGTTCAAAGAGAGCAGATGATTTTATTTTAAAGGAATATATATTTTAATGTATACTGTATTAAATTACAGAGTCCATATACATGTTGTGTAAAAGCTGTAAACATCACACATTCATGTGGTAGCCTTTTCCCACAGAATGGTGAGGAATTATTTGTTTTAATTAGTACTATTTTTATATCTTTATATGGGAGAATATATGTAATGTATATACATGTATATTCACTGTAAGAGTTATCTCCCTTAATTTAGAGTAAATGTACATATATACCTATCATCTAAAATATATCATTATGAATATATTAACTATGAGACCTACATGTATAGATGATATTATATGAATGAATTGATCTGCTATTATATTGTTGTTTTATTATATTTCAGGGCTATATAAACTGTATATCATAAGCTCACTGTGTCGAATAAATATATGACCTGAACCCTAACAGAGGAGTACGTGTTATTTCTTCATCACCACCCCCTGTTACAATTTGGCGCCCATGTAGGGACACAGTGACGCACAACAGTGAACGGAGAGGACTGGGCGTGGTACATCCCTGATGGTATTCCACAGAGACGTCATTCGTGACTGGTACCTTGAGCATTCAGCGATTCGTGATTGACACTTCAGAGTGAACACAGAACAGTGTATGTGATTCCATTGTTTTGCGCGTGACTGATCAGAACATTTGTGTGTTTGCTGATAGTGACAGTGTAGTGATTCGCAGCTGCATGCATGCTTCATCGACCTGATTGGTGCACCCGGATCCAAAGACACTAGATAAGGTTTTCTTTAGATAAGATTTTCTTAGATTGATACATTCATGTGTATTATTTTTTTAGGTAGCTAGCTAGCATATGTATATAAGTGGTTATTTAGCTTGGGTTATATCTGTATATACTGTGCACACTATTTTCATTTGAGTAATTATATTGGACTGAAAGCAAGAGAGCCAGGATGGGTAAGTGGTAAAATTAACAGTGCACATAGCCTTACACCCTAGAACCTACCCAGGTATTAATTATTACAACATTTAACTGCTATACCTTTTTGACATTTGACTGTTTACGGACGAGACATAGTTGTTTTAGTCTGTGGTATTTTATAGCAGGTCAGTTGGTAAATAAGTTGAGTGAAGGTTATAGAGTTTGATTTATTCTCAGTGGTGTTTTGTGTTGTTGGGTTATTCACTGGTGTTTGTGGTGTATAGTTGTTCAAACTAGTTCTAAAATATAGTTAAACAGCCCTTTTAAAATCCCATATTTCCCATTGCCCTGTATTTATAAATCTGTGTTTTGAAATTGCCGCCTTTTCGCCCGTATTTACATCGAGATCGGTTTCTTTCTTTTGTTTACGTATTTTCGATCGAGCTCGGCCTACGCGAAATTTGTTTTCAGTAAGCAGCTTCCTGTGTAAACACGTTTTGGGTTTGACTTTAAAATTTGGTTTATTTTCTAAGTGTTTGTTATTTATTTGAACTTGTAATTGATTTTCAGGTAAGGTTTGGGTTTATTGCATTGCATATATTTACTCTTTAGGTATAATCCGTTTGCATATTTCTTATTTTCAATGAAATTTAACCAGACTTGCACTTGCAAATTTTAGAACCTACTGTTGATCAATCTTTTCTTTATTTATTATCTTATGTGACTTGCATAGTTCAATCATTTGACCGGAAGTAAGGTAAAGTAACCGGAAGTAGAAATTTATTTTTGTTTTTCAGGTTTATAAATACTATACCAAATTTATTTTAGTTCCACACGTGAACTACCCTCCTGAATTGAAAGTTATTTTCGAATATTAGCCCAGTATTTCATTTGTTCAATTAGAACAACCCTCCGTTGCATATTTGAAATTATTTAGAATTTTACCTGGTGTGAATTTCTAAAATTACCATTATTTGCTAAAATTTTGCATATTAGAAATATTTTCACATTGATTTATGAACTTAGTTTATTGTTTACTGTTTGCTATCACATTCATCATCATGTCGAACACCAAGGAGACAACAGAAACAACACAGCAAGAGGAAGTAACCTTTACACAGACGGAAGTGAACAACATTGTAGACGCGCTAGCATCAATGAAGATGAAGCCAAAAGCCGACACTCCACAAGATTTCTTGCAGTGGATGGAATCCATGACTAAGCCAACGGAAGTGAAAATGGAGCATCATGATGTTACTCCTACCACAACAGAATCGAAATCCGTTGTCAATTTCCATTACCCAAAGATTTCCTTCTTCTCTGGAAACACTAAGACTGACACATCCTATGACGTATGGAAATACGAGGTTGAGTGCCTGCTTAGAGAGTCGTGCAAACCAGAAGCTATACATCATGCCATACGACGTTCTCTGAGGGGAGAGGCTAGCCGAGTTATTATGCATCTTGGCCCAGGAGCGTCTATTGAGGCTATTATCAACAAACTCGACAGCATATATGGAACTGTGTCTGAGAGAGAGGACATCTTAGCAGAATTTTTTAGTGCTCATCAGAAAGAGGATGAAGAGTGTGCTAGATGGAGTTGTCGCTTGGAGGTCATTATCAGTAAAGCACAACAGAAAGGATTAGTTGGATACCATGAATCCCAACAAATGCTGCGTATGATGTTCTTTAAAGGACTACGCCCAACATTGAAGGGCATTTGTGGTCATTTATATGACAAGTTCCTTACATTTGACTGTTTAAGAGCTGCAGTTAGAAAGGTGGAATTGGAGCATCAGCCACCCAGTGAGAAAAAGAAGCTACCTACTGTAAAGTCAGCAGTCCCTGTGGATCCGTCAACAAAGAGCTTTGAATCTCTTGAAGCACAGATTCAACAACTGACTAGTGAGGTGAGGGGAATGAAGCAGCAATACAGTTATAGCTACAACCCACAGATGCCTCAGCAGTACAGACCAGTAAGGCCGTCCTTCCAGCAAGAAAGAAGACGAGGAAGTTATGGGGGATTTCCTAGTCAGTCAGTTAGGATGCCTCAGTCAGATGCTGTGTCATACACACCAAGGTACGAGTATGAAGCCCCTACCTGTTATAAATGTGGACAGAAGGGTCACATAGCCATTGGATGCCGAGTCCGAATGGATCACAGAAGGGCTCATTTAAACTCCAAGAAGCCAGCGTCTGGGGACAAGGGGTTGGCAAGAGAACAAGGAGTTCCAAAGTCCCAATAATTGGATCATCCAATAAGATAAGAGTGTCCATCAATGAAGTAACATGTAACGCACTTATTGACACAGGAGCTACAGTCTCAACCATCAATGAAGTTTTTTATTACCAGAATTTAAGTAGAGATGCGTAGTTACATTCTATAGAAGAGGCCATAAGGATAGAATGTGCGGATGGACAACTCATGCCTTACCTTGGCTATATTAGTGTTAACTTGACACCCTTCGGCATCCAAGGACTAGATGAATTACATGACTGCTTATTCCTAGTTGTACCTAATAGTACTTACAACTCCCATGTACCTGTTCTCATAGGGACAAACATCATACAGAGTCTTATAGATTTCACGAGAGAGGAACATGGTTCGAGATTTTTACAGGAAGTCGCTATCCAGACACCATGGTACTTAGCCTTCCGTAGTATAGTACTAAGGGAGAGAGACTTACAGAAAAATGGATATGCCTTAGGACTGGTGAAAAGTGCAGAAACAACAAGAATCGTGATTCCACCAAACAGTAACACCACCATCACAGGATAGGTTACTGTTATGATGCACCAGTCCTCAAGATCATGTATCCCAGATGATGTTGATATAGAGGCAACACTACACCAGTACATGTATGACGAACATCAGCTGTTGCCTGTTACCATCAGCAATATCACCACTAGGACCATTTCCATTTCACTTAAAGCCATCATATGTGAGATCCAGCCTGTAGTCATAGAGGATACTGGTAAATTTTCTGAGAGTGAACCAACAACATCACCTGAGTTGGAGAAAGTACTTAGTAAGATCCATTTACCAGACGACATTACTGAAGAAGAGAAACAGGCTTGCAGAGACTTAATAGAATCCTATCAAGACATCTTTTCTACTGGTGATACAGATATAGGGACAACGGATGAAGTAAAGCACCACATTGAATTATCCGATGAGACACCATTTAAGCAGAAATATCGTAGAGTACCACCAGCCATGATAGAGGAAGTGCGGTCCCATATCAAAGCTCTGTTAGCTGCAGGGATTATAAGACCGTCCCATTCTCCCTTTTCATCGAATGTGGTGTTAGTCCGCAAAAGTGATGGCTCACTACGCCTCTGCGTTGACTACAGACAACTTAACGCAAGGACCATAAAGGACAATTATGCACTACCAAGGATTGAGGAAATCTTGGATTCCCTCTCCGGTAATACTTACTTCAGCGTCCTTGACATGAAGTCTGGCTACCACCAGATCGAGATTGAGGAACATCATAAAGAGAGAACCGCATTCACAATGGGACCCCTAGGTTTCTATGAATTCAACAAGATGAGTTTTGGTTTAGCGAATGCCCCAGCCACCTACCAACGGCTACAAGAAGAATGTTTAGGCGACCTTCACCTCAAAATTTGTTTTATTTACTTAGATGATCTAATTATATTTTCTTCTACTTTCAGGCAACATCTTGATCGACTACAACAGGTTTTTCAGCGAATTAGGAATTACGGACTTAAACTTTCTCCTAAAAAATGTTCTTTTCTTATGAGTAGGGTTAAGTATGTGGGACATATTGTTTCTAAGGATGGGGTTGAGCCAGACCCAGACAAAATTTCTAAGGTAAAAAACTGGCCAGTACCAACTAATGCAGAACAGGTTCGACAGTTTTTAGGTTTTGCTGGCTACTATAGAAAATTCATTAAGGATTTTGCCAAAGTTGCCAGACCACTGATAGACGTAATGGCAGTAGGGAAGAAACCTAGGAGTAACAGCAAGCAAAAGATAGACCCAAAATGGAAATGGAATGAAGATCAACAAATGGCATTCGACATTCTTAAAGAAAAACTTACAACTCCACCCATATTAGCCTATCCAGATTTCAGCATACCCTTTAAGCTGCACACAGATGCCTGCCAAACTGGATTAGGAGCAGTATTATACCAAACGCAAAATGGGTCGGACAGAGTTATTGCATATGCCAGTCGTGGATTAAGCCGCTCGGAGAAAAATTACCCTACACATAAACTCGAGTTTTTGGCATTAAAATGGGCAGTCACTGAAAAATTTGCAGATTATCTCCAAGGAAAAGAATTCACAGTTTTCACAGATAACAATCCTCTTACCTATGTTTTAAGCAGTGCTAAATTGGACGCGACAGGACATCGTTGGATTTCTTCTTTAGCAAGTTACAATTTTAAAATGCTGACTGTTTATCCAGACTGAATCAAACTGAAACCATTTCTTCAGAATCCATCAAAGCCATATGCCAGATAGGTCAACCTTATGCAGAGACATTGTGTGTAGATGAAGAGATATGCCAGTTTATGCAACCTGTCAGTGAACCTGGAGACCATTTTGATATTGTTGCATTACAAGATAATGATACTACTATCTCTTATTGGAAGCAGCAAGTCCTCACAGGAGTTCAACCTAGTAAGAACTCACTCCAGACAGAAAGTGACCTTATTTTTCACAGGAACTTCTCAAAACTGAAGATGAAGTATGGAGTTTTGATACGAGAAGTTAAAAACGAGGGGAACACACTTGAACAGCACATTATTCCAGCCTCATCTATTCCAACAGTACTGAAGTATCTTCACAATAAGATGGGACATCTAGGCCGTGATAAGACTTTGTCATTGGTGAGACAAAGGTTTTATTGGCCAAGAATGCAGA